CAGAACTTTGGTGACTCTTAGAGATGGGCTAACTGCATTATGCATAAAGGGAACGTGACTAAGACAGACATATTTTACTCTCCTGTCTTTTTTCCTTTGTGTTGTGTTGTATCCTTATATACTGAGTCATCCAGCCTATTACTCATTCTTCTTTCGACTTTCATGTAAAACAGGGAAATTTGTTAAGCAGCATTTCATCATTACATGAATAAACTAGGGGCTATTATTTTATATTTAGTCTACACAATTTACAAATATTGTGATTATCTGATGTTTCCTGGCTTTGCTATTCTTCAGGTTTTTATTTTCCCTTCATTCCCTAATCTGCTTCCAATCTATTAATTCCTAATAGACCCTGTTCCGTTCCCTAATACAACTTTGAGAATCTTCATTAGAAATGGCACTGTGTTGTAAGTGATTGTTGTAGGAAGTACTCATTTTAACTCATTAACTCAAGGGTGGGGAGAAATATTGCTACAGTTTGGATGTAGAATAGCCCCCAAAGGATACTGGTGAAAGTTTGGTCTTCAGCAAGGAGCTACTGGAAGGTAGAGGAACTTTAATAATGGAGATTTTGGGGAGGTCTTCTGGTCACCGCAGTGGCCCTTAAAGGGAAGTGAGACCTCAGACCCTTGTCTCTTTTCTTGCTCACTGTAAAGTGAGAGGTTTTGCTCTGGAATACACTCCTGCTGTTGATGTGCTGTCTGCCACAGGCCCAAAAGCAGCAGGGGCCACTGACCATGAACTGAAATCTCTGAGACTGCTAGCCAAAATAAATCTTTTCTTATTGCAAATTGATTTATCTCAGAAATTTGTTATAGTGATGGAAAACTGAGTAAACAAATATTTTCTATCAGGGATTCCATTGATGTGGAATAAAAAGAACTGTTTTTCTGGGATAGGGACATCAAGAATGTCATCATCTCTCCATGAAAATGTGGCCTTACATTCACATGGTTTTCTGGGCAAGGTACATCTCATGCCAAAGAACTGATGTTTGGAGTCACAGATATACCAACACATTTAAAATACATTTTTGTTCTGTAGGGATTGAACCCAGTGAGTATAAATTACACCCCCAGCCTTTTTTATTTTTTTTTGAGATAAGATCTAGCTAAGTTCCCTAGGCTGGCTCCAAACTTGCAGTTGTCCTCACTCAGCCCCCTGAGTAGCCAAGATCATAGGTGTGCACCACTGCACCCAGCATGACATTCTTTATGGAATGACTCCTTGCACACACCAGCTAGACAGCGTCATTAAACACTTACTTACTAAGTGTCTTGGCCATATAAAGAAGTTTTAGAAACTTACACGGTATCCAACTTTTAAAAGACAACACTTCCTTCCATCACATGACATGATATGGAATTGAAAGTTGTATTACTGCAAATAGCTGTATTTACTGTGCTGTTATGCCATAGGCCTTTGTTTCATAGACTTTTTGCCCCAATTCTCTGGAGCTTTGTGATTTGGGGGCCCTGACCAAGTGGGCTGCGCTTGTGCTTCTAGATGGTGGGATTTCCCCTTTCTATTTGTGTTGGAGTCTCTGGAAGTTTTCATACACCCTGTGCGGGGCACCTATAAGGAAAGCTAGGAAGGGACAGAAGGGAAGAATATTTCTGTGCTTCAAGCCCATGGATAGTGGTACTAGTTTGGGTCAGTACTGCTGTCTGCCTTAGGGACAGAAGCCTGCGCCTTCTCCAGGTGACCCTGAGGGTGTGTTAGGGATGTCACTATGTGTACAACTCTATGAGAGGTGGGGCTGGTGAAAAAAGGGGACCCAGGATGCTGATCACTGACCACAGAATAGGACAGAGCAGTGGCCAGGAGCCCACAGACACTTCAATGGCACTCTGAGCTCACGAGGGCCATCCCTTGTGGACTCCCAGCTAGGTGGGGTCATGATTTCCTCCAGACTGGGGGCTGCATTTTGGATACTTTACCATGTATTTTGGATACTTTGTTTTGGCAAAATTCAGACATAATAGGCATCCATAAAACCCCTTTAGCCTTATTAAAAAAGTGAAACACAGATTGCATGCTAACTTTATCCTTAATATGCTATAAGCCAGTAATTAACTAGTTATCTATAAAATGCTACTTGTCTTTCAGAAATGTTTCCTTTAGAGTACAAATACACATATATATTCATATATTTATATAAACACATGTGTAGTACATGTGTGCATGTCCTGTGTATCACATGTCTTCCCAGGAGGCCAGTGTTTATGGCTATGGAAAGTAGGATTAAAAGGACTAATAAATTCTTTAGTGTATGATACACGAATACAGAGATGATAAATTAACAAATAACCAGTTTCCTCAGTAGAAATTTAATTTCACTGATTGTAGGTATTTGTACATAGAAGAGAGAGAGGAAAAACCAAACTATTAATAATGAATATTATTTCTAGAGTTACTTATATCTCAGCAGTGCAGGTTGAACAAAGGAAGCTTCCTGAATATTTTATAGGAATAAGACAACTACATCCCCAGCCCTTTTATTTTTTAAATTTTATTTTGAGACAGGCTTTCACTAAATTGCTCAGTATGGCTTTGATCTTATAATCCTCCTATGTCAGCCTTCATAAGTGCTAAGATTACAGGTTTGTGCCTCTGGACCTACTTTGATTATTTTGTTGTAATTTTTAACTGAAATAGTGTGAAGACTGAAGGTATTGCCTCTGAAGATAAAACAACATTTAAAAATAAACCTAGCCACTTGTTACTATTACAAACAGCACACAAGAAACCACGTGGACACAGGCTTTGTGGGAGCATTAAGAGCTGATTTAGATTGCCTAGGTGCAGGCAGGCTGAGATCAAAAATGATGTCAGCACTTGGCCAGTGGAGAAGTTAAATTTTAATAGGGTTTGGGGGTGGGATGGTAAAATGCTTGGTGTTAAAGTTCCCAGGACAGTCATTGCAGATATATAGATAATGTTGGATTTGTCAGTGCTGGGGCAATTGTATGTCCTGTCTTAAATTTTCTTTATGGCCATCTGTTCTGTTTACTGAGGACAGCAGAGCCCGTTAGTGGTTTTGTGTTTTTTATTGAGGGCTGCACTTTTGCTGAGAGGCTCTCACTCAGGTCAGGCATGATAGTTACTACTTCTTCCTAGATTTTAATTAAACAGCAAGAGGATCTTTGTTGATGGTCGGAGACTGTGTCCTCCACATGCCACATTCCCTGGTGCCCTTGCTGCTTAGAGTATGTCAACAGGAAATTTTCATATTTACCAGTGTTCCAGTTTCTTGGCCAATGCACAGGCATCTGTTCCCCTGGAAGGAAGGCAGCTGGTTCAAGGAGAAAAAGTTTGGAATATGAAGTAGGACAAGTCCAGTGTGCCACTCACCTGGAAAATTAGTGGAACCAAAGGCCAGGGATCTGACTACTCAGATGTTGGTTTCCTGGCTATAGTTATGATGTGGACACCTCAAGCCATTGCTTATACCACAATGCTCTGCAAACCACAGTACTCTCTCCTTGGACATTCTGCACCTACCATTCAAAGTATGATGTTTGTAGTAGTCCAATGATAGTGTACTAGTATAGTTAGAAACAGTGGAGCTGAAGAAGTCACTTCCTTCCACCCATGTACATTTAAACAGCACTCTAGGATTGTTCTGCCTGACAGTCTTGAGAGACTTAGAAAATAAATAATAGAAGCTCAGGAGATCTCTGATTCCCTGGGCAAGATCCTATGCCATATAGGATCTCCTAGCCTGACCTTGAGATACCCTTACCCTCTCCCACCTCATTACAGTTGATGAATATGCATTATATTAATTAAGATTAGAGCGAACTCTGGGACAAGCATGCATGGTGTTGAGAGCCCCTAAAATGACTCAGCACCTTGTCAATCATTCCTGTCACCCATGCTGTGAGATTCAGGGGAGGCGCCTAGATGGAGGTGCCTGGCCTTTGAATTCTGAAAGCCTGATTTATCCACACACTATTGCTGCTGATGCTGCTGCTGCCACCTGCTGAGCCTTTCATGTTACCCTGGAACCTTTCTCTGTTTGCACTCCATTCTTTGTTGGCCCGGACTTTCCCTGAACACAACTTCCTGAGATCTTCAATTATATAGCCACTTGCTACCCACTACTGGGTGTATACTTGGAAGTTTCCTATTGTACATAAGAGCCTGGAATCTACCAGCCTGTTCAACAGCAACACTGCTTTGGTGATTTTTTTTAGCCAATTATAATATATTTTTTGAGTGACACTATGTAAGATATTAGGTTAAACATCCTACAAGTATAAGTTAAGTTAACTCATAAAAATACTTTGAAATCATGATTTTCATTATGCTCATTTTATTAACTAGTAAGTTGAGGCAAATAAGTCCATTGACAAGAACAAATAGAAGTCTGCCCATATCCATTCTTTCCTTCTTCCAAAATAGAAGGTCTGATTTTTGGCTATCTGGGAAGGAAGTTGTTAGCCCTACACAGAAGTATCACCTCAGGGCTGTGTTCCAGTCAATGGGATTTAAGTGAAAGGACTGTGTCAAGAATCTTCCTTAAAATGTCACTGGGTATCCAGGTCCTTAGTACTTTGGACCTTCCATGAAAGAATTCAGTCCAGCCATATAGTGGTTCTGTAAAAGTATAGAAGATGAAAGGAGGGGTAAAGGGGAGGAACAAAGAATTAGGATGTGTTATTTATGTGTACCAACTCCCCACAATCAATGTATATAAATTTTAGTAAAATATATAAAGCAGATATATAGAGTTACACCTGTTAGGTAAAAGAGCTGAAAAATCAGGACCAGATCAGGACTACAACAAGCGTTTATTATGGGGAGGATCTGCTGGGCTGTCTCCTAACAAAGGAAAAACAGCATGGAGGAACAGGGAGCTTCTTTTATAGGAGTGGGGTGGAGTTAACCTGAGCTGGGGTGGAGTTGAGTGAGGTAGCATTAAGAGATTGGGGAGCCTGTGACATCACTAGGAGGGTCTTGTGACATCACTGGTTACCTGGAGGTAGCAAGTATCAGGTTACTCTTTTGGCATGAAGAGAGGCATGATAGGAAGAAGGCTGTCCCTTGGTAGGAGAAGCCATATTTAACATCTAGACTTATTCCATGTGGCAGCCATTTTAAAGCACAGAGAATTATGGGAATGAAGCTACTGTTTTACGTAGCAGCCATCTTGAGGCAAGGGAATCTAACACCACCTTCCTTTGAGAAGTCAGGCAGCACTAGGTAGGGTAGGCATCTACACTGAGCGTGAGAGTGGATATCTTTTTATGCCCAAAAGCAACTCCTGAGTTCTGAGGAACTAGGGTAATTATGAGACTATGGACAGTTTTGTTAGAGGTTACATTGGAGTTGCAAAATGTCTTCCTGGTTCCTTTCAGAAAGTCTTTAATCATGTAAGAAACTTATGAAAAAAATTTATGAAAGAAAATATTCTAATTCAAATCAGGTCTCAGTCCAAGGCATGAAGGTCCACGAAGGCTCTGCTTTCTGATACCCATAGGCCATCAGTGGGGCGACCAAGTATTCCATGTGATGGCTCTGGAGAGAGACAGCTCTGCATCCACATGAAAGTGCACAGCGTAGAGCTGGAAGACGTTGCTGTGCTCTGGGGGGCTGCTTCAGGTCTGACACCTAACAGGTGATTATAATGCTTTATGCCCTGAGGTCTTTGTCTCTTCCTTGAACAACAACTGGTGCAGCAGCTACTTGAAATCTATTCTGTCCTTCTGGCCTGCCAATGTCTAACTGCCTAACACAAAGGCAGATTCTCCCTCTGACCTCTTCCTTTGTTTTGTTTTCACCTCTGCTACTTAAAATCTGGATTTTCTGTTCAAGGCCCTGGAGGTCCTCTTGACTAGTAAGGAGGTCACCGGCCATGGCACAGGCTGGCAACAATATCTTACTGGCACTGTGGGGCCGAGCCTTCATGATGTGGCTTTACCAGCTAAGTCCAGATTTTACATGAGAGAAAAATAAAGTTGTCTAGCTTATGGCACAGATATTTTGGCTTAGAGTCATGTCTAATCTTAACAATATGAGAATATTGCTTAAGGTCATGCAGCTGGTAAGTGGCAGGAAGGCCCTAGTCCAAACCCCAGTTTGTCTGATTTGAAAAGGCCCAGTTCTATTGCCGTAGTGTTATACTGACCTGGGAGTAAAGAAAGACTCTTCACAATATTAGGTATTTCAAGCAGGTCCACTTGATCTTGGAATACAGTCGCTATTTTGTTTCCAGTTACTCTGTCCTCCTAATTACATTTGACTCTGGCTGATATTAAATTGGGATCTATACTCCAAGCACGTGCATGTGGGTTTTGGCAGGAGGAAGGGTCCCCAGAAGGCCTGTCTGACCTTCAATTCTTGTTAGATGCCTGGACAACAGAGAAATGCATACCAAAGCCCTGGAAAAATTAGATTTGCATGAAAATGATTTCCAGCTGCCTTCTTCATTTGCATTAAGGCAAGCACCCCAGGATGTGCTCCTGGTGGGCAGGGTCTTTATCTGCACAGGAAAACCGGATTGCTGGGGATACTTTTCAGTTGCTTGTCTGTGTAATTCAGAGGTCCAACTGTGTAAAAATTCCTGGACTGTTTTGAACAAATGAAGTTGGGATCTTGACTTCCTACAAAATACCTCAGTCTGACACCAACATTACAAATAAGATGATAACCACCTCCACTTTGTCCTTGAAGATGATGACAAAAGGGAGGGTAGAAAATAATCATTAACAGTCATCACTTGGAGTTAATTTGATTTCACATCAAATTTCAACATCTTCGAAGAACTAATTGAAAGGCTATCAAATTCATGAGTTCATTACATAGATAAGATATGGTTATAAATGTTGGTAGTTTTCTGTATAATGGACATAATCCTATAATTTACTGGGCAAATCTTACAAATAAAACAATACAAAATAATATAAAAAACCTAAGTTAACTTATTAGTAAACACATTAGACTTTTAGAAGAAAAATTTCAAATTGATCAAGAGAGTTAAGGAATGTTTTAAATTAATGGACAGATATATGATATTCTCTGTGGGATGACTTAACATACAAACTATTGGCTTTTCCAAAGAATTTTATCAAATTATAGGTATATCATTCTGATCAAAATTGCATTGGAACTTTAAGAGTAAGCAAAATGATTCTAAAGTTTACTTGCAAGAATAGGTAATGAAAATAAGTAAGGTAATTTCAAAGGGTTATAATAATGAGAGAGCTTGAGATTTAAAAACATTGTAAAAGTAAAATAAATAAAAGTGTGGTACATGTAAAAGTATAGGCAGACTGACAGGCCCAGACTGACAGCCCTTAGCATATATATAATAATTTAAGAAATGATGAAAAGTAATGAAAGACTAATGGGCTATTCTGTATTAGAATATTTAGTATTTGGAAAAACATTAATTTAGGTAGCATTTAGATAAACATTTAATTTAGGTAAATTGTGGGTAATTCAAAAAGTAGGTATCTCACAAAGAAAACATAAAAGAGGTAAGTATATATCCAATTTCTGGATATAGTTGGATTTTTAACAATAAAAGCAGTAAGACAAGAGAAAAGGTGAATTAATCTGGCTCTATAAAAATGTACACCCTTCCTATGTCAAGCCACACAAAATCAAAAGGTACATGGGCGTTCTGCAATGGCAGCGAGAAAGCTCCATGACGGACATATTCCCAGGGAAACCTGAGTCCCTGGTGAATAATAGATATTAAAACCCCAGCCATTTAGAGTCTCTGGAAGTTGTACTAATAATACACACCAGACAAAGAAGTATGTGTTCAAGTACAGCTGCTAAACCCCTGGGCAGCACAGTGAGGGTCTGCGGCTGCTGAGTGGAGGCCTCCTCGCCGCAGCCCCACCCACCTGGCTGTTCTGGATGGGCGCCGCCGGGGAGACAATGACCCTCATCCCTCTGCTCCTTGACAGGTGGCATGGCGCCTTGCAGAGGTGAGCTGGCCTGTAATGGTTCTCTTCCCTTCCTGCGCTAGTGAAAGAGGAAGAGGATGAGAGCAGCGTGTAAAGGTGGTTGTATCAGGGATGGAGATGAGTGAGCTAACCACACTGAGCTCCCCAAACAATGAAACTGGAGGCAAGCGCTGGGAAGAGGGGGTAGGAGCAAAGTGCATCGCATGTACGTATAAGGCTGCTAAAATGAAATGTATTCATCTGTAAAAGTAAAACCAATTAGAAAAAGAGATTTAAATAAAGGATTCAAAGTTGAAAAAAGAAAAAAAAAACCCGCTGAATTCACATGAGCCCACTGAAAGGTTAGTGGCTGCCTTCCTCCACTCCTGATAGGATGGGGACTCTGCAGTAGGTGGGGCAATAGAAAACATCCGGGCTGCAATTGCCCCAGTGCCAGCTCACTTATGGGGCCAGGATCCATGGCAGGACGGGCGGGCCAGCAAGAACAGAGGCTGCCATGTTCCTGAGGGCCCAGAAGAGTACTCAGAAATTCTACTCAGAGGAAAGACAGCCCACAGACACTGTTGGGCCTCTGGCAAAGCAATAGATTTTAATTAAAGCATGGAATCTGCAAGTTCAAGTCTATGGACACTCTTGACCTAATAGAAGAACAATGCCTAAAACCATTGGTCAGCTGGTTGGTTCCCTAGAAAGAATCAGGGCGGAGACCACTCAGCTTCCCCTGCCTGGATTTAAAGAAAAGACTGCAAAGCGTTTAGTTCTACACCTCCCAGAGCATTGCAGAAAGCAATCAGTGGATAATTAGGGAAGCCTGACAGCTGGGTGTGATAGTTAAACAAGACAAGTAGCTTAGTAGATCAAGAAAAGAGTGCTTAGTAGAACAGTCCCAGAATGCCATTCCCTAGGTGGCCCTAAAATACAAATACTATAAATTTACTCAGAAACCTTCTTGACCGGAAAACTCTCCTGAATCTTGATATATGCCAATGCAAATTCTCCCTAGAATATGCACATTTCCCTTAGGCCTTAATGGATTCCCAAAAATAATTTTTCAAAGAGACTGGACATCTCATTGTCCGAAATGACTAAGCACAAATAGACTCCCATCTGGATTTCCAAATATTGTTTCTTTCTAAAAGGAAACAGGATTGAGTGGAGAAACCGCTGATCCCAGGCTTGGAGCAGGGCAGGTAAACAATGGCTCCTCTGTGTGAGAAAAGTAGAAAGTGGTCCACATGGAAAGGGAGCTGAAGCTAGGAGCTTCTTCCAGTCAAATCAGGGGAACTTTGAGCGTCAAAACAATTGCTGAGAGTAATCTCTAAGAAAATAAATAATGTACATTAAACAAAATAATTAAGTGTATGCCAATTATACTGAAAAAATTAAAAAAGTAAATAAAGTGAAAAAGAAACTTTTGTAGCTCATTTGTTTATATTCTACTAACTGTCAGATTAAAAACTAGTAAACAGGAGGAATGACAATTAAAAAGCCACTGTTCTTCCACTATCATAAAAAATGGATCTGGGCACAAATCATCAGTAGAAACTCCAGACACTAAAGCTACTGGAAGTTTATTGGTGCATTATTTTTTTATTGTTGTTGTTGTTGGTACAAAATATCTGGCATCCAAAGTTAGAGGAAAGGTTTATTTAGCTTATAGTTCGTAGCGGTTTTAGCCTATGACTGGCTGGCTCCAAGGTGGGTTGGCATGGCAGAGGACGAACACTGTATGGAGGGCAGAAGGTAGTAAAACAAGCAAAGGACGACGACAGCTCTTTTATCTCTTATGTTGTATTCAGGATATTTAGGGCAGGTAGCATTTACACTCAATCTTGGTGCCCTTTATTTTAGCATTGTATTATGAATTAATCTTATCATTACACACTTTAGATCTAGCCACCTCTGAAAAAGCCTCACCTATAAACTGGATGAGGCTTTGGGGGAACATCTAGACATAAGCCATAACATTCTGCCCCTGGGCCCCCTAAAGACTCACACATAGCACTTCATGCAACATGCGTTTAGTCCATCTCTAAGAGTTGCCAAAGTCTTAACAGTTTCAGCACTGCTGAAAAGTCTAAGTCTAAAGTCTCCTCCGAGATTTAAGGCAAACTCTTACCTACGAGCCCCAATACAAATGAAAAGAAAGTTGAACAGTTTTAACATTTAATGGCACAAGATAGACGTTTTAAAAGTTACAAACAGTGGGACAGTAAGGAATAGGAACAAAGCAGGAATAAAATCCATCAGGGCAAACATGAAATCTCACTGTTTTCATTTTAGCAGCCTGGGAAATCTGGTGCAAGTTATGATTGCCAGAGGGCTTGGGTGGCTCTGCCCCTAGGGCACTGTGGATGGAGGTAGCTCCCTTGGATTCTTTCTGCCCCTGCTCTGCTCTCTCCTTGCAGTTTTTCTCAGACCATCCATGTTCCTGACTTTCTCAAACTTCTGGGGTCTCTACTGGACCTTTGGCTTCACACTCACAGCTTCGCACACTGCCCTCTCAGGGCCCTGTGGCCTCCCAGTCCTGCTTCTGAAATCTGAGCGCACGCCTTTCTGACCTCACAACTCTCGCATGCCACACACACCTAAAACAGTACCGCATGGATGGTGCCAAGGTCTGACACCAGCTGGAGCCATCACCCAGAATTTTTCTTATCATGGCTATAGGGGTTGAACGCCTATGAACCAAATCTTGAGGAACAACTTCTCTAGACCGCTGCCGTTCTGGAACATGGTACTCTGGGGCTCTTTTTAAAACAGCAAAGTCTTTCAACTTTGCAACTCTGAGGCTGCAGAGGCTGGCGTCCTGCTGGTTCTTGTGATGTCCTCAGGCCATTTTTTCTGTTGTCTTTTGAAATACTTGGCGTTTCCTTGCTAGTCTTTTCATGACCAATTTCTTCTCTGCTCCATCTTTGCACAACACACCTTTACTGGAGCTTCCTTTCTGGCCAAACTAAAAACATTGTAAAACATTCTGCTGGGCAGTTTGCTCTTGATTCTCAACATAAATCCAGCCAAAAGCCCAAACAGCAGCCATTCCATGGCCTCAACATTAGACTGCCTTGAAATTTATTCTGCAAGATTAATTAGTCTGCCATCCTTAATCTTAGTCTCAGGGAAAGTCTCTAAACTCTAGCAAAATGTGGCAAAACTTTCAGCCAAGGCATAGCACATATTTTCTGGAGTCCAGCAGCCAATGCAGTCCTTCTTCTCAGCAGAAACCTCCTGAGCTTGGTCATTACCAGAAGAATTTCTATCCGCATTCTGGTCTTCTGAGCTCGGACCACAGTCTCCCATCAAGTACAGCATAAGGCATTCCAGCTCTACTTTTTCAGCTGGTGCCTCTGAAACTTTCCTTACTCTTCCCCTTCCTACCAGCCAACTCCAAAGGCTCCTAAACCAAATGGTCAGGTAAAGTCACAGCAATGACCCCACTCCCTGTACCAAATTTTGTGTTGGTTACTTTTTCTCATTGCCAGGACAAAACCTGATATCCAAACTTAGAGGAGGAAAGGTTTATTTTGCTTATAGTTTGTAGTAGTTTTAGTCTATACTTGGCTGGCTCTAAGACAGAGTGGTATGTGCAGATAGACCTCACAGAGAAGAAACAGTTTATGGTGGGCAGAAACTAGCAAAGCAAGTAAGGATGACCACAGCTCTTTTTATCTCATATTTTATCTAGCCTATTTAGTGTGGGTAGCATTCATATCCTTAATCTTAGTGCACTTGATCTCAGCATTGTACCATGAATTAATCTTAGCATTACACACTCCAGGTCTAGCCATCTCCATGAATGCCCCACTGGTGCGACTTCATGAGGCTTTGAGGGACAACTGGACACAAGCCATAACTGTTGAGAAATTAGATACTGAGTCTCAGAGCGTCTTCCCATAGGTTGTTCATTATAAAAGTTATAAAAGGAATATGTAGCATGGAGAATTTGACACTGATTTAACTGATTTAGGTCATTAAAGTTATCCCAAAAACTGGGACCAAGTAAATGCAGGGGCTTCTTAATGAAGGACACAAATCACATATGGCATATTCCTGCAGAAACCCATCACCTAAAATCAGGCATGGGGCAACAACCAGACAAAGGCAAATGTGGTACACTCAGAGCACCACTAGTCTGTTTGCTCCTGGGAGCTCTGCTTCCTTCTCAGCTCTCCCATTCAATAAATCATCTCATTCTGCTTATTTCACCTCCTAAATATTGCTAGAATCCATTCACTTCTCTCCATTCTGTTACATCATGTAAGCTAATTGCTAAAACAGTCGCTGGCTATGCTCCCCCTGAATCCACGCCTCACAGGTTAGCATGAGCAATCTGTTTATGACGTGAATCTGATCATGCCACTTTTCTGCTTCAAGGAGTTTCCACGGCTCTCTGTGGCACTTGGGGAAAATGTAGACTCCTGCAAATACCTAACAAAGCCCATCTTGATCTGGCTCCTACACTTCTTTCCAGCTGTACCCTTCAATACATCCCCATTGCCAACAACACTATATTCTCAAAATTTCCTGACTTCTTTCGGTTTCCAGATTGAGATATGTTCTGTTTTGCAAAGATTTTTTTTATTATGCTTAGACCTTTTCTCTTTCTGCACTTTCTACCTCACTCCTTTTTGAGACAAACTCTTATTCATACTTCAGATTTTGGCTTTGGTAGGATTTATTACTAAAAGCTTTTATTATCCTCCTCTTCCCACTCCATCCAAGTCTAAGATATGATCTTGCCACACTGTACTGTCATTTGCTGTCTAAAGTCTATCCTCTCTAGTAGCCTCTAGGCTGCATGTACTAGTCAGCTTTCCATTATTGCATTATTAGAATACAAAACCTGGTGCCAGAAACTTAAAGAAAGAGATGAAGTTTTACTAATCTGATAGGCAGCTCTCAGAACAGTCAAGTCGACACAGGTAAACTTAAGCACACTCAAAAAGGCAAGGACTGAGTCTGTCTTCTCTATTTTGTTATCTAGTACCCATCACAATGCTGGGGATATGGCAGAAATTCAACGAGCTTTCTTTGATCACATGAATGGACAATATAGTTGCAGTGGGAGAAGTAAAGAGACATTTTACAAAATAGCAAAGGTTTCAAATGCAGCAGATGATATCAGAGACTGAGGCTAACTTCCTAAGCTTTCTATTTAAAAGAATTGTCTGTGTCCAGCTCTTACTTTCTAAATACCATTCTCTAATAAAAGGAGCCAAAGCTCACTGGAAAAAAGGGACAGGAAAATGTAAAATTATCCTAAAACACATTAGGAAG